CGAATATTTTGTCCGAAAAAAGTAAGAGAAAACTTATAAAATGAATAAATACATACTCGATACATGCAACGGATATAAAAGTAAAAATACAAACTTCTGTTTGAAATACGAGACTCTTAGGTGAGGCGGAGCTTGAGGATAAGAGAAACTATTGTAAACTCGTAACATCCGCTAACATCCGCTAACATAAGTTTCTAGGTCGGGTGGGATCGTTTATTTTCGTATATATGTGCATGCACAGGGTGGACCAAATAATACCTACCAATGTTAAACACGTTTAACTTCTCTATTTTTTATTATTATTGTTATTTTCTTTATGCATGTTATAGGTAATCTCTTGGAAAATCATAATGGATACTTACAGCAGGACCACCAACAACGACTACAATACACTATTCATTTTATACAATTAGCCACACAAATTGATTTTTTAGGTAATGTTTTGATGTCGGATGAAGCGCATTTCCAAGAAAAACTGTAGATGGTGGGGCTCTGAAAATCCAAGGGCAACACACCAGCACCAGGTACACCCATCCAGTTGCATTGTTTGGTGCGAAACGCCAGAAACGATTTCTGGGGCTTCTTACAGAACAATGATTGACAACTTTTGGTGGCCAACGGCAGAGCAGCATCCTAATTTGTGGTTCCAACAAGATGGAGCGGCTGCGCACACTGCTAGGCAAACTATGAACCTATGAACTATGGATGGTAGGTCTTATTTGGCCCACCCTGTACTTGTACGTAAATACGTAAATAAATTTGTATAATTTGATTTTTCCTTTCTTTACTTACCCCAGGTAAATCATGAGCTTCATTCATATCCTCGCACTGTGTCCAAATATTCGAAGATGGGTCGTAACATTCAACAGATTTTAAATCGTTTCCATTGTAGCCTCCCATAACAAAAATTTTGCCATTCAAAGCCACGGCACCAGCTTCACTTCGTGGCGTAATCATACTGCTAACAAATTTCCATTCGCTACCGGGTGAATACCTAAAAACGGGTTGGTATTTAAATATTTGATGTAATTGATAAATATACATGCATAGGTATCTGGCTCTCAGAAGCAATTCTACAAGGGATTTGGCACAAATATAGCCAAATCCGCTTGGATTTTACTACCACGTATGGATA